CTCTGAATACCATTTTGAAGAACCCACTTGAATGCCTGAGCAGCAACACGGAGTAAGAGGAGTTCTTTCTTGCGTGCTGGAGAGCTTTATCTAAAAAGGAGCATCGGGCTATTTTCCCTGGTCATTAATGATGAAAGCCTTTACTCTCAAGGGCATATTTTCCTCCACTTCCTCAGACTCTCAGATACTTTCACACTAATACCTGTACATAAACACAAATGTTACCATTAAGAATGACTGTACCCGGTCATTTGGCCCTGCTCTGTTGAATTATGCTAATCATATGAACAGTCCAAGCTGAAAGGGTGTTCATATCCGTATGTAAAGGTTGGCTAAAATGGCATTATAATGAGAACGAAGGGTCAGAGTCATGACAGTTAGTGCAGACAGATGAGCTTATACATTACGTGCAGGACTCAAATTGAGCGTTAGTTATTAAAGTATGGCCCAGTATGGCTCTTTGGACCATTAGTGTCATTGCTTTCTCCCAAGAATAATGGATTGTAATCTGAAGGGCCGCCAGATTAGTGGCATTAATCACCAATAATCACAATTAATCGTGATTGAAACATTGCTTGATCTGTTCATTTGGTGTAGCGTTTATGTAAGCCAGCCTTACACTCAGAAAGTCCTGGGTTTGAGCCGCAGGGAAACTACATATTTAAGGGCGCCTCCGGTGGCAGCTTGTGTCGGTTGCATAGAATCACATGCACTGCTGGTGCCAGCTTCAAAACATATACAAATGTGCGGGAAGACAAACACTGGTACAATATGAGGAAATCAAGTGTGGCAGAGAAGTATGTGAAGGTGGTGCAGGAGATGTACTAAGACAGAAGACTGTGATGGGACCTGCTTTGATGTATGGGTTTGGAGACTTAGGAAGTAGGAAGGACAGTTGAGGAGTCGGGAAAAAAAAGTTAGTGAATTTCCCCATTTTGGAACGAATAAAGAACTTCAATCAATAATTAAGATTAAGTTACGGAAGAAGGTTTTGTCCATTTCCTAGAATACAATTTATTGGCAGCTAAATGGCAATGTACACAAATGCATAGCAAATAAACAACGGACAACCATAGAAAACACTTCTACTCCTTCTGTGTCAACCGGCTGAATAATGACAAATCATTACAAAGTACTCCGTTATACTCTCGGTGAACATCAGCAGCCTGCAGATTGATGGCGGTGTAGCCCATTAGCTCGTAATAACCTTGTCAATTGTTTGTAATAGCTTTCATTCACACGAGCTGAAGGTAGCAGACGACGGCACAGGAACTCATTCCCCGAGAATTCAAACGGATATAAATTGCCCTTTTACCACGTAGTCGAACGCCGTATGCGGCAGATCGATGCGCCATCGATCAAAAAAAAAATTCTCATTAAGAGCCGTGAAAAAATTAATTTATAAATATTCAGGGTCAATTTAGTCTGTGACAAGTGAAATCATTTAATGGAAATGAATTGACTTCAGGGTTGTTTTTTTTTTTTTCTTGTTTTCGTTAATTATAAAGACGACACTGTGAAAATATTGAAAACAAGTTATTTCAGTGAGGCTCGGCAGCTTGGTTATTAGTCCATTATCATACTGCGACAGGTGTCCACTTCAAAACATATAAAAATGTCCCAGAAGACAAACACTGGTACAATATGAGGAAATCAGGTGTGGCAGAGAAGTATGTGAAGGTGGTGCAGGAGATGTACAAGTGGTGGGACCTGCTTTGACGTATGGGTTTGGAGACAGAGAACAAAAAGTTGATTATACTGGACAGGGAATGTTGGGGACCAAGTTGCGAGTTGGCTGGAAGAAAAAAAACATGTTTTCAGAGATTTTGATAATTAATTAAGCTGGAGGAAAAAATCAAGTTTTCAGAGATTTTGATAATTAATTAAAACTTTTTTATTCGTCAAAGACAAACTTGGACGATTTGTATCATTTGGAGTAAAACCGAAGGCGGTCTACGCCTGTTTATTCGTGGCTCAAAGTTGTCATACTTTTTTAATTTCAATCCTGTTTGAGGCCAAATCAGAGCATTAGCATTTGAAGATTTTGAATATACCAGAGTGCACAAATGGATGTCCATTGTTCGCTCCTAAAACACGACCCTGCGAAACTTTTCATTACTGATAATAGTGGTGCCGGATGCCTCCTCATATGAAAAGCTTCCGACTCCTGCGTCCATTATAAACGTGTGAAAGCCACATTTCTGTATTCACTCACACACTGCTGCCTTGCTCATTTGTTGAATTTACTTAGTAAAAGGCCACTTAAGGCAGAACATAATGTCAGGCAGCCAGCGAAAAACATCTGAGCAAGCTTTACAAACATGTTGTGCCAATGATTTCCCATGAATTTCAACATCAATTTATACTTTTTTTTCAATAGGCCGCAGTTCCACACCACTTGCATTGTACGCTATTGACTAGGAGAGCTAATGTGCAGCATGTTTGTTTTTTTTCCTCTTATGTGTTTTTACTGTACACCCCATCAATACAACACCCACTCAAAGGTTTCTCTTTTTTTAAAACCATCAATTTAGCATTGTCTCTGTAGGACTGTGGTGTATTCACTGCTGGTTTTGGCTGCCACCTCTGCCTTCACCAAAAATGCCAGACAATGCCAACATATATGTGTATATATGTATATATATATATATATATATATATTTGGGCTGTTGATCGCATCCATTCATTTGTGCCGATCACATTACAGTTTTGTATGCAATTTTCAAATGGATCGCGAGGGGCTGTAAACTTTTTGACTCGCGGGCCCACAATTGGTCCTAAAATTGAACGGGTCAGGAGCAGATAGATGGAGCGTTCATGTAAACTAAGATAAATGACATGTAGGCATGCATAAATGCTACAAGGCCTAAATGCTTTTAGCTTAGCCTTCTCTACTCCATCTATAGGGGAATTGTGGGCATTGCAGGGAAAAGGCGGAAATATTATCACAATACAAATCAATTATATAATTTGGACAAGTTTGGCGGGCCAGATTAAAAAAAGATGAACGGGCCGCATCCGGCCCCGGGGCCTTAGTTTGCACACGCTTGCTGTAGACATTCACCAAGCCACCGAGATGCACAAAAATCAAATCCATCTATCCATCTATCTATCCATCCATCCATCCATCCATCAATCCATCCATCTATCCATCTATCTATCTAATAAACACACTATGTTATGCATATATACTGTATATATGACGCTCTGGTTAATACTCAAGCCACTTATAAACATAAATTCCCTATGCTGTGTGTAAGGGGCAGCAAGAAGAGCCTCGAAAAACACACGCAAGCATTGTTAGCCGCCCGGCGTGACAGGCGACCTTGGTCATGGTTTTTTCGGAAAAACCTGCAGAAGCAATCTGTTACGTTGTAAGGGAGCGTATTTTTGGTTGTTGTTGATACCTCTATTATTGGATGATTAGGTGCAGGGTGACAAGACAGATGGGGTCAGGGAACGGAGGTCAAACAACAAACGCCGCGCACCTGGCTCACACCGTCTCACACCGTCTCCGAATGAGCCGCAAGCGCCAGGATGTTTTGTCTTTATTCATTCCTCCGGTCCAAACGTGCGTTCAACTTCGAATCTCTCGTCCGATGGACTTTTATTTTAGCAGCTACAAAAATACCCCGTCTTTTTTCTCCTCCTTTTATTACATTTGCTATTTTTTTCTTTCTATTATCTCTTCAAAGAGTATTGCTGGAAGCTATTGCCAATGTTATGTTGAAGTTAATAACTATAAGCTCAGCTCAGTTTTTTTCCAAATCCCTTACTCTTGCTCTATGATTTCATCAGTGATTCCAGCCCGGAGCCCACAGTGTCCACTTCCTGCCCAATGAAAAATACTTATTTTATCGCTCACAGCCTCAGGTTATGCTCTCGATCTGTCATCCCACCTACGCTGACTACCTCCTGGTACTCTCCAACCACCGACGCTTTAACTGACCAGCTAAATACAAGTAATGATCCGTGGAGAAAGGAATCGCTGCGATATTTCTGACAATCTGTTTTCTCCCCCCCCCCCGTAGATTGCAACCAGATCCGGAACGCGCATTTGTCCCACCTTTTAAAATCTCGACTCCGGTTGTTCTGCCTGTCTGGGTGTTCGGAGCAATGAAGGTCCCTCTGTGGTGCCTGGTGGTGCTGCTGGTGTGTCTCTTCACCCCTGGACGCAGCGACTGCCAGGGTCAGTGTGCGGCCTGCGGTCTGCTCCTGCAACAGCAGCAGAAGCAACAGCTGCAGCAAGCCTTCAACGTCATGGTGAGTGTGCGTGTGCCACGGGGGAGTCGTCACGACTCACTAGTGATAAGAGCGTCTGCCTTGAGTGCCTGTTTAAACTAGGTGTGTTAATGTGAGCACAGCTGCCACCATCGATCAGCACTTCTAAAGGACGTGTGATAGTCCGATTAGTTTGTTGTCAAGTTCGGTCTAAAACTTGACGATGCACAGTGCTGTGTGTACTCATCGATGCCACCATCTATTGTTTTTCCCCCGTATCCAGGTGCAAATGTGACGTAGATACAATTATACAATTATATAAGTCCCCTCTGGTGCGTAGGTTTCAACAGTGCCCTCTAGCGGCTGTCAGTGTGAAAACAACGAACATGTACATTTTTTAGTGGTACAGGAGTAGCAGATACTGGTACACAGGCCTAGAGTGCCCTCTAGCGGCTGTTGGTGTGAAAATAAAAAACGTGAAATTATATATATTTTAATGTATAAGTCGCACCTGAGTGTAAGTGTCAAATCCAGCCAAAGGATGGAAAAAATGTGTGACTTATAGTCCGGAAAATACGGTACTTCAAAATAATTTATATTTAATCTAAAAAAAAAAAACATTGAAATTTTGAACGAATGAATGAGATACTTTAAGACCAAGTTTTTTGCATAACACAAAAAAACATATATTAATACAAAGGTAATGTACAAAAGTATTTTTATTTATATTTTATATATATATATTATTAAATTATATATATTATTCTTATATATATATATATACACATATATACATATACAGTATATATTTATATAGTATATTTATGTGTATATATGGGTGTGTGTAACACCATTTAGACCAGGGGTGCCAAACACAAGGCCCACGGGCCATAACTGGCCCGCTAGGAGGCTCATTCTGGCCCACATGATAAATTTAAAAGCAAAAAAAAAGCACAAACACTTAATTAAATATGATGATTTTTTTTTCAATACACCTGTACTTCTTTGCATGAAGAATTGGGTAAAAACATGGGCTTATTATTATTGAGAGGTAATTACGTGATGATTGAAATGGTCCGGCCCACTTGACATGTAATTTGGCTGCATGTGGCCCGTGAACCTGAGTTTGACACCGTTGTTTTTGTTTTTCATTCTGCATTGGTACATTTTTAAAAAAAAAGTTGTTTTTTTTTTAAATCCAAATGGAATTTTTGTAAATCAAAAGCAACATATTTGCTTATTGCGATTGTGGAGGGGTAACATATTTACAGCCCACCTCTTTCAAATTCAACCCTAAGTCCAACAGGCAGCACACGGCGTCATTTCTAAACATTCCGAGACACAACGCTGGGCAAAAAATAGTCAGTGGGATGGCTAATTTAGGTGATAATGATGCAGGGAAGGACAGCTGGGACCTTATGGGTAGTTGTAATAGAACTATGTAATTGACTGCTGCCCAGTATCATCAGCCTGGCCCTACATCGGTGACTGACACTTTCTTATTAGCTCCCGGTTGCGTAGGCTGCCTCAGCTTTGAGCCACAGATGGAATCCTCTGAGCAATTCCACTGTTGCCTCCCAAGACTGAAAGGGCGTGCGTGAAGGCGCTGGTGTTTGTTATGATGCCATTGATTTTTCTCATACGGGCCTACGGACCTGTGATTGCTAGGATGATCGCACGACGCAGACTTTCCTGTTGCTGGAGTGATGATGGTGCATCTTGTAATGTTAAAAGACACATTACACTTCAGCCGATATGCTATGCTATGATCTTAATTTACCATTTTTGAGAGTCGGACTCTACTTGTGGCCTGATT